TCCAATTTAAAGCGTTCCGTTCCTATTCACACCTTTTATTTGAAAAACAATCGAGAATATTTTTTTTTTTTACTTTTTTGAAAAGATATTAATTCTCTTGATTTCCTCAATTTTCTGTGCTACCATTAATCCACAAGCTACTGTTAAAGGAAACCGGAGCCTGGGATTTAACAAATTTGAAAAAATACTGCTCGGGTCTAAGCTGTCGTTTACGACTTGAGCTTTTGGATTCAAGTTGCATCTTATTTTCCACAGAGTTGAGTTCTAAAAACCGGTTTAGTATTCTATTTGGCTGATTTTCATGGAAGGAATTGGCGCATTCCGGGTTTTTATGACCAACCAAGGTCGGTTTTATTTTCATAGGGCCTACCTTCTTAAGTCGAGTCGAAGATTTTGTAGCTGTCAATCATGTGACACAAGCTGTCGTCAGAGTTGGGTCTAAGATTGGGTCTTAAAGTCAGGTTTTAGGAATGACGGCTCGAGCCAAAGTTTTAAAATCGCAAGCTCAAGGATAAGTTCATCATCTTTGCTAGGACAACATTTAAAGGGTACTGTCAGTCATAAATTGAGGGTCATTTTAAACAGTGTCTACTGTCATTTTGATGCGACAGCGAAACCTTTTTCATCAAGATATGTAAAATATGATTGTGACAAAACTTGAGAAAATAATGTAAACAAAACTTGTAATCATTTTAAATAAAAGAAATTTCCATCCTCTGTCTTTTTTCTCTTGAGATAATAAATTCCAATTTTGCTGAAGGATGAGATGAGACCTTGTATTAACTTTTCATCAAAATTTTAAATAAATTTTAAATTAATTGAAACTTTTCGGAAACATTCATTCATTCATTCATATTTTTATTCAACTACAAAGCACGAGATAATACAAATAACAAATCACAATTTACTATGTAGTTTGGACCCGCCTAACCAGAGTTGGTCGTTTCGATTGGTTGGCATATATTTAGTTGAAAATGTTGAATTTAGAAAACAGTTTAAAGGTTCTCCATATATTTGAAAGTAACTTCCGCATTTGGGCAGCGGGAAAAAGCGAGGCACTTTTCTAGGAAGAAAAAGACTATGGCTACAACTTTTTTTAAGGTTTAAAGGGTAACGTTGTGAATTAGAGAGGCAACTGTGTAGTTTACTATAATCCCTTTCAGAAATTAAGATTTTAAAGGGAGTGTAAGGGAAAAATGAAAGAGGGTATAGGCCGAAATCTGAGAATCTCAGGAAATGAATAATACCTATAAGGCATCTATCTGATGTTCCTGTCTCGAGAAATTTACATAAAACTGTGTCATAATTATACCAATATACGTCCATATTACGTGACCAGAACTCACTCCAATGGAAGTGCAGTGTACTGGTCACATGATACAGACGGAGACATGTGACAATATTACTGAACTGCCACTGGTTGGAGTTCTGGTGACATGTTCCAGACGTGTAAATAATACTATCAATTAAATCTATTAAAAATGAAAAATTATTAAATCAAAATAAGAATAGGAGAAAACTTAAGTTTCTCAGGCTCCTATGGGATATTAATGTTTTCAGATTGGTTGTGTGTTTGTTGAATTTGATCTGTTTAATACTACAATCTTTTACCAAATCTTACATATATACGTTTTGGTATATTCAATTTCTCGAGACAGGAACATCAGATAGAACTCTTATATGTCTCAATCAACTCCTGAGATTCTCAGGTTTCAGCCTAAACCCAGTCCCATTAAGTGATTTATTAATGAAATTAATGGGAAACAGATTTAAATTTTTATAAACTGAAAACTAAAAACTTTACATAACTATATTGACCATGCATTGGATTTCTCCGATATGTCTGGTTTGGTCAGGTTTGTGTACATGAAGCATTGTACACAGCGCGAGGATGTGTTTACAAAATAATATTATTTTTTTACTGCTAGACAACATCTGTAACATACAGGGTTACCCAGAAAGGCATGAGACTGTAAACTGTAAACTTTTTTGTTTCTTTGCCAAATCATTGAATAAGCTTTTAGCCTAATTTGTCTAAGACAGAACACATAAATTAACTCGGAGACACTCATATTTCAAGAGTTTCCTGTCGTCTTTACAGTCTCATCCTTTGTGTGTAACCCAGTATACACAAAAATCTTTTCTGCCTAGAAAAATTGCAGTAATTTTAAAAAGGGTTGACTTTATCGCAACGCCTTGACATATGATTTTAGTAATCATATTTATTTGTAGCCCTAGATTTAAAATTTTAAAACTTAAGCCTTTAAGAAGTAATTTGCGAAATCTTTAACGATTTTTACGTAGATCTTGCAACCTGTGTATACACTACCTCATATGATGGACTGAGTAACAAGACCTATAGTTTGTTTGTTTGATTTAAATTATTCAGTCCTAGTAATTGTTCACAACAACAAGAAAAATAAATTTAAGAAAAAAACAATGACCAATAAATAACTTATTGGCCACTTGATATAAATTCATGTAAAAGATGCTTATGCAGTTGATTATTGCATGCATTGATGAATCTGGGGGCTTAAATATCCAAGAATCCAATTTGTTGATTCCCCCTTATTCAGGGGTGTACAATTTTTCAATAATTACGCCCCCTGGAGAAGGGGAGGGGGGGTTGGATGATTTCTGATGATTTGTAGGAACAAATGAAAAGTTGGCAAGTTTTTCAGTCAATTCAGCGAATAAAACCCTAAAAAATGCTTAACTTTTAGGGGGAAAAAAATTTTCAAAGGAGGGGGGGGGGGGAAATGAGTTTTAGAGAAAATATACAGTATACATCCCCTGCTCTATAAACTTCTGCGCCTACAATCGCTAGATAATACATGCACGCAAAATTCTAATTCATGAGAAATAAAGATTTATTAAAATGGAAAAAAATAACAAATAGTTTTAGTGTAATGAATAAAGTATAGATATCATGTGATTATTATCAACATGCAATATCTAATACATTATAAATCTATATATATACATTTATTTTATCATTAAACTAGCTTAGAAACCCAGCTTTGCCAGGAAACTGGACTTTCTCTATTAGTGTCAACTTGAAAATTTTAACCAATTTCAAAAACATTCTCTGGGTTTTAACTAAACAAACATTAAACAAACAAACACAGATATTACTACTTTATTTACAGGGTCTCCCACATCATATTAAATCTTGCAATATAGCTTTTCAACAGAAAATTTTAAAACAGTTAAAAAGAATTATAGAATTGTTTAAAATTGTATAAAATTGTATAAAATTGTATAAAATTGTATAAAGTTGTATAAAATTCTTTTAAAAATATAGGAAGAAATGCAATTGTGAGAATTGTTTTATCCAATTTATTTTACTGACTACAAAATAACTAAAAGTTAGTTGAGTAAATACTAACTATTGAACTAGCTCCGATTAGCCATATATCTAACTTGACATCTAACTTTTTATCTGACTATATCTATCTGAATATAATACATAAATGAATACTGTTTATCCGACTAATATTCTATCTATAGTTAGCTAACTATCTAAATCTAGATAATAATTTTCTTCTGTCATATATATGATTTTCGTATATTTGTATATATGTTAGCTATAGCTGGCCAAACGGCTGAACCAAATTGGCTGAAAAATTTTGAGGAACCCTTGATTACCTTGGTGTTACATAGGCTAAAAAGTTAGATTTTTTTTTTCAAAATTCTAATTTTTTTTCTTTCAAAATAAAATTTTTTTCTTAAGTGTTCTTAAATTCCACAGACAACGCCGGGCACTTCAGCTAGTAACTTTTATTTAATAACTGTCTAACTAACTATCTATCTTACAAACAATGTATGTTAGAGCTGTTATCTTGACAAGGTAGTGAGCTTAGAACCTTTATGTCAGATTTATAATATATTATTTCTTTAGAGGGGATAATATAAGGATTAGAGTTATTAGTAGAAATATTAGTATTAAATATTAATCAGATTTAATACAAAGAGTTATAAAACATTTTCAGAAACCAAAAAGGCGATACATTTTTATCTAAGCTACAGGGTTACCCACAAATGATCAGACTTTAAAGACAACATTACTAAATTCACACAAAAAAACTCAAAAAAATTATTTCAAAAATCGAGGGATGTGCTAAAATCGCAGATGGTCTCTTCTATAATCGACAATAAATTGTCCCATTTTGTTTTAAATGAAACTTACTTTTTAATATTTTTTTTAAATTTGTAACTAAAAACTATAAGGCTCTTTTTTTATTTTTTATTAAAAACTAGTTATGAAGCTCTTTTTGTTTCACCATTGCCCATTGGTTCAAAATTATAAAATGTTTATAATATATTAAATGAACTGTTTTTATCCATTAAAAAGGGAAAATAGTTTAACAGAAAATTTGTCAAGTTTCTTTTATCTATGATGGCAGGCATGCATAATGTACACAAACAACCCTGCTTGATCATTTCTTCTTTATTTAGAAAACAGATTTGAAATCATTAAAAATTAAGATACTTACTGGGTGCCATAAAAAAAATATTCTAAATAGAACAATCAAGAATATGTGATGATTACTGCTTGAAAATAATTTTTGGACTTACTTTGTATAAATTACGTAAAAAAAGGCAAACCTAATTCTGTCTTAAAGGAGTACTATGTTCATATATCTAATGTTATTAATGTTAATAGTATTTCAAAATAGACAAAGTATGAATAACTTTTTTGGCGGAACCATCGATATATTCTTCTCTCTATCTATCTATCAAGTCCATAGAAAATGTCAACTTGAACTGGATGTTCACATTTTTACATCTATTATATCTAAATATGTGTTTATCTTTTTTAACAACTTATTCATAGTTTGTTTAGATTTATAAAGCTATCTTTTATCTAGTCATGGATCATTCTATATATCTATCTTTTAATTTATCTAAATATATATTTATATATATATTCATCAACTATTTATATTTATTTATCTATCTATTATCTATTTATCTAATTATCTCTATGTTTTTTACAGGAACGTATTGCTATGAGTGCTAAACTAGAGGATAGTATATATTGTGCAAAGGTAAAAAAAATTAAAATTCACAGCAGGTGTAAACAAATAGGTCCATTTTGAATTTTTTTATCTAAGAGCTTGTGAGGTGTGCGGTATATAACATTATAAGCAAAAAAGTGATATTTTTTTAAATGGCGAGCTTAGACCTATTTAAAAAAAGACTGAAAAAAATATAACAAAATATATCAGCGCACAAAAAATAGACAGACCACATATTGGAAATGAAAGGACTAGGGCTATTTTGTAATTATCGTTTCATCAATCGTATTTGTAAACTTTTTCAAATATCAAAGGCGATTGTAAAGTCGTCTGATTAATTGTCAATAAAATCCGGTTCTTTGTGATTGTTACTGAATTATTCTAGTATGAGAGAAGAAGACAGATTTCTAATGGGGCCTCAAGCTCAGGTAAGCATAAAGGCATAAATGCATAAACTCATAAAATATAAATGCATAAACGCATAAATATAAAAATACATAAATACATCTATAGATAAATAAATGAATACGTATGCAGGTTCCTTTTAAAAAATCTAAAGAGAATATGTAAGTTCCTATAAAGAATATTAAAAGAAGATGTAAGTTCATAAAAAGAATCTAAAAAGTTAATGTAGGTTCCTGTAAAGAATCTTAAAAGAAGATGTAAGTTCCTATACAGAATCTAAAAAGTAGATGCAGGTTACTATAAGGAATCTAAAAAGTAGATATAGTTTCCTGTAAAGAATCTAAAAAGAAGATGTAGGTTCCTATAAAGAATCTTAAAAGAAGATGTAAGTTCATATAAAGAATCTAAAAAGAAGATGTAGGTTCCTATAAAGAATCTTAAAAGAAGATGTAAGTTCCTATAAAGAATCTAAAAAGTAGATGTAGGTTACTATAAGGAATCTAAAAAGTAGATATAGGTTCCTATAAAGAATCTAAAAAGAAGATGTAGGTTCCTATAAAGAATCTTAAAAGAAGATGTAAGTTCCTATAAAGAATCTAAAAAGTAGATGTAGGTTACTATAAGGAATCTAAAAAGAAGGTATAGGTTCCTATAAAGAATCTAAAAAGAAGATGTAGGTTCCTATAAAGAATCTTAAAAGAAGATCTAAGTTCATATAAAGAATCTAAAAAGTAGATGTAGGTTCATGTAAAGAATCTAAAAAGTAGATGTTGGTTCATGTAAAGAATTTATTAAGAAGATGTAGGTTCATGTAAAGAATCTTAAAAGCGCTTAAAGGGTCTATCGATTTAATTTTCCTAATTTACGGTACCTTTCAAACCTATCTGATGAGATTAATGTGGAATATTTGTGTGTTTTTTTAAAATTAAAAAGTTTTTTTTTACAATTTACTGCATTGTTTCTGTCACAAGAAGTCCGCAAGACAATTTTACAGAGAAGTCACAATTGAAAATAATTATTTCTTTAAAGAGACATGAAGGAACACTTAAAAATACGTGTACACTCCCTTTAAAGGGTGCATTTGTCTTTAAAGCTCCCAAGGAACTTAAACTGGACTAAAAAGTAAGTTGGAAAGTATGCAGACCAGTGGAAAGATCCTGAAAAGTCCATAACAATGAAATCAGGGGGTTTCTAAAAGATTTTCAGAATATATATGGCATAAAATGTTTTCTAATTAAAAAACTAAAGTATTTTGCTCCTTTATGATGTTTAGCATTGCACTTTTAGCCAGGGTCATATCTGCGGGAAGGGGAGGGGGTGATCAGGTTCCCACTCCCCCTTTGTTATCGTGACCTGCTAAAAAGTCAAGAGCCATATCTTCGGAATCCATTTTCACGAGCTTAATGAAGATTTTTCCTAATTTCTCTTTTTTACTATTTTGTTGGAATATGTATTTAAAATATTAAAGTATATCAATCCTTTTTCGCCATTTTACGGTTTTTGAATTTTAGATGAAAATGTTGTTGAGAATACATAAACAGGATTAACGTCGCTGTAGCTAGTTTAAAATTATTAGTTTCTTGCCTGTTAAATCCTATTTTGTATTAGGATTGGTTTCTATTTGAAAATATAACTCCATTAAAATCCTATCCTAAATATATCGCAACTTTATTAATTATCGACATGTATCTAATAATTATATAAAAATATATAAATATAATATTTTGATGTCCAATACTTTTGACATTTTGACGTTATATTATACAAAATATAAAGTTTTCTTGTATTTTTCTTGTATTCATTCTTCTCATGTAAAAAATGTCATTAAATGGTGAAGTATAATTTGTACTAATTAGACCATGATGTGTAAGCCATGAAGTAATCTTTACTAATAAACTATATAATGTATTCTAGACTAAATATTTAGCAATGTAATATTAGTAAAAGTGTTCTTTACTAATAAACTTTGCAATTTATAATTCTGTACTGATAAACTATGTGACGTGTACTATACTAAATATTGATCAATGAAATACATTGTAAAAGTGTACTTTACAAATAAACTTTGTAATGTATTCTAGACTAAATATTAAGCAATGTAATACATTGTAAAAGTGTACTTTACGAATAAACTTTGTAATGTATTCTAGACTAAATATTAAGCAATGTAATACATTGTAAAAGTGTTCTTTACTAATAAACTTTGCAATCTATAATTCTGAACTGATAAGTGATGGAACGCTACAATTTGTACTATGCCTGTTTTATTATAATGTACTAACGCATTACAATGTACACACCCTCCAATGATTTTTATGTTTTTTATTATGCTGTACTGATACCCTGCAATTTACTTTATTTGTTTTTGTACTTATATGTAATGATTCGCTACAATATAATTTATGTACTTTTTATACTGTGCTAACACACTACAATGTACTTTATGTGTTTTATTTTACTGTACTGACACACTTGATACTGCAATAATTTATGTACTTTATTATACTGCACTGACACACTACAATGTACTTTATTATACTGTACTGACACACTACAATATAATGTATGTACTTTAGTATACTGTACTGACACACTACAATGTAATGCATGTAGTTTATTATACTGTACTGACACACTACAATGTACTTTATTATACTGTACTGACACACTACAATATAATGTATGTACTTTAGTATACTGTACTGACACACTACAATGTAATGTATGTAGTTTAGTATAGTGTACTGACACACTACAATATAATGTATGTACTTTAGTATACTGTACTGACACACTACAATGTAATGTATGTAGTTTATTATACTGTACTGACACACTACAATGTACTTTATTATACTGTACTGACACACTACAATATAATGTATGTACTTTAGTATACTGTACTGACACACTACAATGTAATGTATGTAGTTTAGTATACTGTACTGACACACTACAATATAATGTATGTACTTTAGTATACTGTACTGACACACTACAATGTAATGTATGTACTTTAGTATACTGTACTGACACACTACAATATAATGTATGTACTTTAGTATACTGTACTGACAAACTACAATGTAATGTATGTAGTTTAGTATACTGTACTGACAAACTACAATGTACTTTATGTACTTTATTATACTGTACTAACACACTACAATGTAATGAATATACTGTACTGACAAACTACAATGTACTTTATGTACTTTATTATACTGTACTAACACACTACAATGTAATGAATGTACTTTATTATACTGTACTGACACACTACAATGTAATTTATGTACTTTATTATACTGTACTGACACACTACAATGTAATGTATGTACTTTTTATACTGTACTGACACACTAAAATGTAATGTATGTACTTTATTGTACTGTACTGACACACTACAATTTACTTTATGTACTTTATTATACTGTACTGACACACTACAATGTACTTTATGTACTTTATTATACTGTACTGACACAATAAAATGTAATGTATGTACTCTATTGTACTGTATTAACACACTACAATGTAATGAATGTACTTTATTATACTGTACTGACACACTACAATGTAATGTATGTACTTTATTATACTGTACTGACACACTACAATGTACTTTATGTTCTTTATTATACTGTACTAACACACTACAATGTAATGAATGTACTTTATTATACTGTACTGACACACTACAATGTACTTTATGTACTTAAGTATTCTGTGTAAAGCTGAGAGGGAAGAAAGGAGAACAACTATTTGCCGCCAAATATCTGAAATCTAATTCCTCATCATCTAGACGTGAAGTAGAAATTCTAAGGTAATTTAGGGTAAAAATATTAATCACACATTTTAGATGATCATCACGAAAGATTGAAATCTTATACAGTGAATCCCAGATATATGAATACATAGCAAGAGTTTTTATAATGTCGTATTAGATATTTCAGACCAAATGCAGCGGAAAAATGAGTTTAATGTTAAGATCTCAATTGCATTGATATTTCAGGGCTATTAATTTACCTTGAATTAAAAATAAAAAAGAAGTTTCTTTAGAATTATCAAAAAACTTATGACGGTTTGTATTCATATATCTGGGATTCACTGTATATTTTCAATTAAGGGTGAAACTATTTTAAAGAAAATGTCAAATCCTTGTTGCACCAGCTAAAAGTTATAATGTATATTTAAAAAAAATTATTTAAGGCTAAAAAAGTAGTATTTTTGCTTATACTTTGCTTAATTTTCAAGGAATTTTTACGAATTAAAAGTTCCTGAACTCCTGTAATTGAAGAGCAATTGAACAGAACAAAATGTTTGGAATTTCTTAAATTTCTTGAACCGGAAAATACTTGCTTTTCTAGTACTGGTGCATAAAATCAAAGCGAGAGGAGCTACGAGGGTACGATCGGTAATGTTAAACCTTCTCGTTTCGTCTTGTTCACAGCAATCTGTGTTCTTCTCTCAAATTCACATTTTTAACACGTTTTTTTTATTAAACCGCGCATTCATATAATAGAATATAAACATTTGATTAGAGTGTGACTGTTTTTGTTTACAATTTTGTTCATCATGTCCCTCCTCTCTCCCTTCCCCCCTTCTTCCCTTACCCCCCCTGCCCCCTCCCTCCTTCCATCACTTCTCCTGTATTTCTTTCTCCTGGTTCTGTTTGAGTTTATCAAAATGCAAACTTCGAATTTAATCTTCTCTGTAGACAGATTTGGCTTCCACGAATATTATATTCTTTTGGAAGGAAAAGTTTAGTAATTTTAAGCGATCTTCGGCCCCATTGAAAGAGTGACATGTCCAATTCACAAAAATACCTATATCGAAGTATAATGTGGGAGATATCGTCGTCTGTATAAATTTAACACTTTTCTTCATCTAATCTGCAGCATTAATCCACAAAGTCCATTTATAGAGAACCTAAAACTTCAGATGATTAATCTGCAGGTAAAAAACATAAGGATATCTCATTCAACCTTGATCAGACAAAGGTTTAAAGGGTATCATTCTGAATCGGACATAATGGTACTCACTTAAAATAACGTTTATTATCCTATAAAAAGCTCCCTGATCTAAAACTCCCTCTCTCTCACTAAGCAGCCATTGTTCTATTATCTTTCAGTTTTCTTCAAATAAATAACTTTAAGCTGTAAAGAATTTAATTATCTTTTTTTTCTCTTTTTGATAAATTTTTTATTTTTTAAGTTATAACAGGATATTTTATAATCTTTTTATCTTCGATTTAATTTAATCTTTTTAAAACTTATTCGTTGCTTGGTATTGAATAATAAATAAAGTACAAATATCCGCTTACATATCCGCTTATTCTATAGTTGTCAATAAGTTATGATCACAAATATAATTTCTAAGGAGAGAGGAATAGTTAAAAAAATAAAATTTGAGCTTTTTTAAAACTTTTACTTTGAAAGATGTATTTAGTTTCCAAAATGAATTAAAACGTATTTTTGGTTTAAATTTAGTGATAAAAAGATTTATGCATATGCATAATAGAGATCCATTAAAACCTAGTATATAAAAGGTATAGTGCATATATGAGTAGTCTGTGATTGTAAACAAACTCTGGTCAAATTAGGCCAGGTTGTTTTTATTCCTCCCAGAAACTGCGTACACTAATTTCGTAAATCAATATGTTGAGTAATCAATAGGTTTACATTTAGTTATTATCAGTGCTTAGAATCCATTGGATCTGCATGATTTGGCTTCCTGGATCCGGATCCACAAAAATATGCGGATCCACGGCTTCGTATCCAAGGGGCAAAATATCAACAACAAAATGCAAAACAAATTTTTTATTCACAATCCAAATCTGAACCATCAAAAAAAGAGATAATAAAAGTTACCTTATTTCTGAATGGATGGTTCATCAAGTTTTATTACAATGAAAATAAGCAACAAAAATAATACAAAAAAATTTTAAATTCTGCTTTGTTAAAGATACATAGATACAGAAACATACCAAATAATTATATAATAAACACACCAATTAATTTAGTTATTATTATTATTATGTATTGATCTAGTAGGTCCATACGAAATAAGTATACAATAAAAAAGACAATTAATCAGAAATCTTATCAGGGCCATAAACTTATTGAAATAACTCGGAGGGGACTTGGGTGGTTAATTTGTTGTTTACAAAAATATACTTCAACATTTTTTGTTTAACTATTTCTAATTTTGTACTGAGAGAGAAAGAGGTGGTTTTTGAGTATAAGAAAATGTTTTTAATATTTTTAGAAAACTTCAACGAGGCCAGAATATACTTCGTCTGCTGGATACTTTCTACTGTGAGTTCCATATTATCCTAGTTACAGAGTACCTAGCAGGTAATATTTAACCCTTTTTTAGTCGTTAGGTGGGGTACAGAGTACCTAGCAGGTAATATTTAACCCTTTTTTAGTCGTTAGGTGGGGTACAGAGTACCTAGCAGGTAATATTTAACCCTGCCATTAGTCGATAGGTGGGGTACAGAGTACCTAGCAGGTAATATTTAACCCTGCCATTAGTCGGTAGGTGGGGTACAGAGTACCTAGCAGGTAATATTTAACCCTGCCATTAGTCGGTAGGTGGGGTAAGGGCCTGATAAAAATTTCATCTGTTTTTAATTGTAAGCAAAAGGATTTGAAGATGTGATTAAATATTTTAATGAAGAATACTACATTTAAAATTCAGTGATGGTGATGGACCAAACCTCTGTAGAGTAAAAAAGTAGATGTTAGTTCCACATTTATTGAAAATATATTTCGGTCTGGGTTGACCCTCGTCAGTTCTTGAGATTGATAAAAATGTCGGACAAGAAGAGTATTATGAACATAAAATATTTTTAATGTCGGTTTCTAATTTTTAATGGTCACATTGTTTTTAAATAGTTTCCTAACCATGTTAATTCAGGAGGGAACCTGTTTGAACGACTGTCTAACAGTGAGTACAAGTTAACTGAAGCTAAATGCCAAATATTTGTCAGGCAAATACTCAGGTAAAAATTTTTAATTTCTCGTTATCTTGTAACTTAAGAACCTATTTGGGTCCCTAGTCCCTAGTTTCTAGTCCCTAGTTTCTAGTCCTTAGTTTCTAGTCCCTAGTTTCTAGTCCCTAGTTTCTAGTCCCTAGTTTCTAGTCCCTAGTTTCTAGTCCCTAGTTTCTAGTCCCTAGGTTCTAGTCCATAGCTTCTAGTCCTTAGTTTCTAGTCCTTAGTTTCTAGTCCTTAGTTTCTAGTCCCTAGTTTCTAGTCCTTAGTTTCTAGTCCCTAGTTTCTAGTCCTTAGTTTCTAGTCCCTAGTTTCTAGTCCTTAGTTCCTAGTCCCTAGTTCCTAGTCCTTAGTTTCTAGTCCCTAGTCCCTAGTTCCTAGTCCATAGATCCTAATCCCTAGTCCCTAGTCCCTAATTTCTAGTCCCTAGTTTCTAATCCCTATTCCCTAAGTCCATAGATCCTAATCTCTAGTCCCTAGTCCCTAATTTCTAGTCCCTAGTTCCTAGCTCCTAGTTCCTAGTTTCTAGTTCCAAATCAAATTGTCTAATCACAGTATATTTGTTACCCAATGCTCCAGACATTTGATATTTCAAATCTGTAAGATTAGAAAGTCTTAAGTATTACACTACCAGTTTGCAAAGGTATAGGAAATATAAAAAAAATTAATATTCAAAAAGTAAAATAATGAATTATGAAAAGAATTAGGGGGGGGGGGGTGAGGCGTTGTGCAGTTAGCCCCTCACTGATTTTTGGGGTTCGTGTCTTTCGTAAATAACATTTCTTTATAGATGAAAAAGTTGCGTTTAGCAAAAAACTAAACACGCCTTCAAACTATAGAGAATAGAGATAACAAATCAGAATTCGGGCTTTTCCATGAAAAATTGAGTTCTTTTTTTTTGGTTTGCTTTATTTTATTTCTGATAAAACTTCTTGAAATATATTTGTTCAGGGGTCTGGAGTTTATGCATTCTCTGGGTGTAGTGCATCTAGACATCAAGCCTTTCAACATTCTCTTCGCAAATAAGGTACAGGGTGAACCAATAAACAAGGTACAGGGTGAACCAGTAAACAAGGTACAGGGTGAACCAATAAACAAGGTACAGGGTGAACCATTAAACAAGGTACAGGGTGAACCAATTTAGTTATCGAAAACAATGTTCGTTTTCTTTTCACAGAAATATTTAAAAATCGGATGCACAATATTCAGAATTCTGGAAAATTCTAAATTTTCTCTTATTTTTCAGAATGATGATTTTGGATTAAAGATATCAGACTTTGGGAGTGCTCAGGAGCTGGGGGAAGAAAAGGTAAATTTAAACATATCAATCTGATTTCAAATTTTTCATATTTGATAAAAACTAAATATTTTCAAAAGTATCAGTTTCTTTAATTTTATTTTGTAAATTAAAAATTTAGAAATTTTTGGATTTGTATAAAATTTCTAAATTATTGTTGAAGGAGGTGAAGTTCAATAAGATCAAGGGTTCGGTGGAGTTCATCAGCCCGGAACTTATTCATTGCGAACCTGTTGGTACACAGACAGGTGAATAGATCTTGGGACACAGACAGGTAAATAGATTTTGGGACTCAAACAGGTTAATAGATTTGGGACACAGACAGGTAAATAGATCTTGGGACTCAGACAGGTAAATAGATTTTGGGACACAGATGTGTAAAAAGATTTTAGGACACAGAGAGATAAATAGATCTTAGACATAGACAGGTTAATAGATCACGGGACACAGACAGGTAAGTAGATCTCGGGACACAGACAGGTAAGTAGATCTCGGGACACATACATGTGTAAAAGAGCTTGGGACACAGACAGGTAAATTGATCTCGGGACACAGACGGGTAAATAGATCTTGGGACACAGACAGGTAAATACATCTCGGGAGACATACAGGTAAGTAGATCCCGGGACACAGACATGTAGAAAGAGCTCGGGACACAGACAGGTAAATAGATTTTAGGACTCAAACAGGTAGGTAAATAGATTTTGGGACACTGACAGGTAAATAGATATTGGGACACAGATAGGAAAATACATTTTGGGACACAGATATGTATATAGATCATGGGACACTGACAGGTAAATAGATTTTTGGACACAGACAGGTAAATAGATCTCGGGACACTGACAGGTAAATAGATATTGGGACACAGACAGGTAAATAATTCTCGAGACACTGACAGGTAAATAGATATTGGGACACAGACAGGTAAATAATTCTCGAGACACAGACAGGTAAATAGATATTGGGACACTGACAGGTAAATAGATCTTGGGACACAGAAATGTAAAAAGATATTGGGACACAGATAGGTTAATAGATCTTGGGACACAGAAATGTAAAAAGATATTGGGACATAAATTGGAAATTTTGAGAACTTTTGTCACTCCTAATGAAAGTGGAAAATCTGCGAAATTTTAAATACATTTTTTTTTAATAATTTACGAACAAAATACGAACAATTATCTCTGGAAAAAGAGACATTAAAAAGTACAAAGAGAGAGTATAATTATTCTGAAATTCTAGCTATAGTTATAATATACACACTGGGAATGAATATAAATTATAAAATTTGGTTTAATTTTAGATATGTGGAGTGTGGGCGTGGTCGCATATATGCTTGTGTCAGGAGGCGTGTCACCATTCTACTCAGGTTCCGTCCATTTGCATTTCTTTTCTCATTTAATTCATTCTTCTGAGCTGGGAACTCTTATATTATGAATATTGAGATCAATCCTTGATTTCCGATCTTTTATTAATTTGAAGATTAATTTAATCATAATTCAATATCCCGCATGGTAATAACTAATGAAGGAATAACTAAAATGAAGATATTGAAAGGCTTAGTTCTTTTAGATCCTGAATTTAAAAGTTCCCAACTCTTGATGCATTTATGAAGGAAAGGGTTGTGCAATGTGCACTCTGCAGCTTTTAAAGTAAAAGTAATGATTTTCTAGAACTGTTATTTTTTTCAGTTAATGATCGTATTTTCGATTGTTTAAAGTTAGAATTTAAAGTGTTAGAATAATAAGATTCTAATTGGTACCATTATTACCTTGATCCAATATCTAAATATAATTAGAGAAACCCTCAACGATTTGTAAAATATAGCGTGCAAAAAAAATTTCCAGGGTTTCTGTTTCTCCATCCTCCCATTTAACCTGCCTGTGTTTCCCCATCTCCCATTTAACCTGCCTGTGTTTCCCCATCCTCCCACATTTAAGCTGCCTCTGTTTCTCCATTCTCCCATTTAACCTGCCTGTGTTTCCCCATCTCCCATTTAACCTGACTGTGTTTCCCCATCCTCCCATTTAAGCTGGCTCTGTTTCTCCATCCTCCCATTTAACCTGCCTGTGTTTCCCCATCCTCCCATTTAAGCTGCCTCTGTTTCTCCATCCTCCCATTTAAGCTGCCTCTGTTTCCCCATCCTCCCATTTAAGCTGCCTCTGTTTCTCCATCCTCCCATTTAAGCTGCCTCTGTTTCAACATCCTCCCATTTAACCTGCCTGTGTTTCCCCATCCTCCCATTTAAGCTGCCTCTGTTTCCCCATCCTCCCATTTAAGCTGCCTCTGTTTCCCCATCCTCCCATTTAAGCTGCCTCTGTGTGGTTAGAAAAACAAGAATCCATGAAATGGTTGCTAAGAAGAAGGTAAAGAATAAAGAGTAGCATTGTAATGAAGAAAACATATAAGATACAATAAGTGAACTCTGTATATACCATACAGTTAATCAAATCCAAGAATAAAACTAATAACCATAAAACCTTGCAAGTTTGGTTTAACAATTATATCTTTCTATTCAACACTTTAAATTATATAGAATTTACATTACCTTATATAAGGGAGAGACATATTTTTTTTTACATATCTATGAATATGATTTTCAAAATTTTATCTATTTTATTTATTTATTTATCTATCTATCAATCAATATCTATCTTTATCTATCTATCTATGTATCTTCCTGTGCATCTATATCCACCCAAGTGTGTCGTTTAAAACATGAATTTTCCCATGAGTTAAAGTTTGTGAATGTAGGTGCACTCTCCATGGTCTCCAAACCAGTTTATTTTTAAGATAGGCAACTTTAAACTGTCCATGAATTCCAAGCTTTTATTTTAAATAATATATCTTCAATAAATCTTACCCTGAGAATATACAGAGTTGGTCATTGTTTTAATCCTAGGCAAGACATCTCTTTCATCGAATGGTTGATTGATTTTACAGAAATAGGGAGGGGTAAATATTGTCAATGAGATAGGATTTTGAAGAAAATAATAAATCTTTTGGATAACAACTGCAAACTCTGTTTATTCCTCATACTCTGAGATAATGTCGGACAGCTGTTACTAATAATGATGGAGCGGCAATGTTGGAAATATAATTTTGATGAAAACAAACCAATTTATCATTTGTACTTAATCAATAACCCCCCTGGCACTCTTCCATCACTCAAAACTAGATCAGACCTTTTTCCAGAGCTTATTCTTATTTGAAAGGACTTGAATCTTTGTCACAAACTCTGATTTTCTAATCCCTATATCTTTGCAACCAAATGTCGTAGACCTTATGCATTTCAAACTATGAAGTCTGTTCGCTCAAATAATCTCAAGTTTGAAATATCAAAGGTTTGCACTTCAGGTTACAATAATATAGGGATAGAAAATTTGAGCTTACAACAAAGACTCAATTCCTTTGCCCAGAAACACTGGACGGTTTTCTGATTTTGAATTAAACATTGTTTTTTTTGCCTGGTTAGAGCAAGAAATCCTCAAATATCATTTTAATAGTCTATAAAATTTCCTATTAAAATTTGGAAGGTTCATATATAGTTCTTAAAGGGACTGATATCTTAATTTTAAGTGACCCACGGCCACCGTGCAAAGATGGGAATGCCGATTTAAACCCTCGACGGGAGAGAGAGAACTCCATGTCTGTTTTCAAAATTCAAATAAAATTTAGTTTATAAACACTTCTAGAAAGTAAATTTTTTTTATCAAAGGATAAGGATACTTCTGTTATCCTTGTTCAGTCAAATGTTTAATGGCTATATTTGTGAATCTAAGTTGCCATGTCCCAATTTACAAATTGAGGGTCACTTGAAACTTCTTCTCCAGACCCTTTAAGAGCAAGGTGGCCGATGAGTAAAGAAAAATAAAAAATAAATGTCAGTTTTTAAACTAAGAAATGTTCCCTTTTGTGTCTGATAGGATGGGANTAGTTGGAACATCTTGTACTTATACAGAGAACATGAAGAAATATTGATCTGCTATAATTCTGCGAAGCAATGTTCCATCAAAATAAGCCTGAAACATTTTCAACACTAAGAATGAAAGTGAATATATTAATGTCTGCACAATTAAAGTATTTTCATGAAGAATTAATTTAATCTTATTTATTATTGATGCTATACACTCCACTCCACTAAATCTATATGACAATACTGGCAAGGCTTTGTGACCACTTAAATCCTCTAGTTTTGATTCTAAGCGAAGTATGAGAAAAGAAAATTTATTTGGTTACAACTTACATATTATAAATTCAAAACTGTTTGGTTCTTCTTAAAAGCTTTATAGTTAGCGGAGTTATGATTAAAAAGTTGAACATATTTAAGATTTAAAACGTGGAAGGAATTGAGTTTCTGTAACAAAGAATGATTTTCTAATCTTTATATCTTTGCAACCCAATCTCGTAGACCTAAGATATTTCAAACTATGAATTCTCTGAGATAGAACAGTGTAAGTTTAAAGTATCAAAGGTTTACACCATCAGGTTTCAAAGATATAGAAAATTTACAAAGATTAGAAAATATCAGTTTGTGGCATAAACTCATTTCCTTTGCTTTAATTTAATTTTACTCTGACATATTAATCTCTCACAGTTTATCTCCTGTATTTTATCAAAAATTATCAATATTCATAATACACGTATCAAGCTATGAATAGGCATGATAAACAATCTACTCTAACATGTGCCTCTATGAGTCTTATACCCAAGCCAGTGGGCCTTGAAATTGACAGATTAATTTGACAGTTCTTGCATGTGTTTTATTCTTCGTCCTCTCCCCTATTAGAACTCATGGAGGACGCAAAAAAGTAGTATTTTACCCTTCACTCATGCATAAAAAAGTTGTCTATGAATAGACATTTCATCAATACTGAGCTTTAATATTTGATATTTCAAAAATTCCAAACAAACATTTTATTTAGATTTATTTGTGCAAATAATTGTTTAATTCTGGCAGACATGATGGTAAAGGGATTCGAAACCGTACACTATGTAGATTGTACTGGGTGTCCCAATAAACATGGGAATTCAGAGAAGAATTCGATATCGTCTTTTCAAATAATTCTTTGATTTAGTATAGTGTATTAATATCTAGAAAATATGGATAAATTATCTTTTTCTTTTAGAAGAAAATGAGAAAGTTTTTTTTTCTCATTTTGAATTAATAGGACATATTTCAATTGTTCCATTTATTAAAAAATAATAAAATTTTCATTAGTGGCAAGAGTTTGGCTCTTTTCTTCCAAATAAACCTTCAAGAATTACAAGTTAAAGGAATTGAGTTTTTGTCACAAGCTTAAATTTTTAAATCCTTATATCTTTGGAACCGGATGGAGTAAACCTTAGATTATTTGATCTATCTGTATACTTAGTTTGAAACATATTAGGTCCAAGACATTGGGTTGCAAAGATAAAGGGATTGGAAAATCAGAATTTGTGGCAAATACTCAGTTCCTTTAAACCAACACTTGTTGAAAGTATTCATGGACTGATTTTGGCAATTTAGATTTAAATATAAAACGTTCGAATACATTTACTTATATACTGCTCTTTTCTCTCTACTAGGGATGGGCTCCTTATCACATCTTGCAATTCTTTTGTTAACGATAAATTAAATTTACGTTACGAATTTGTTTTTTTAAGTATGTTAACATTTCTTTCTGTTCATTAGTTTTTCACTTGCAACTTTACGATTCTTTCTTATCTTTACTTTACCAATCTTACTCCCCACATGATGCTTTTTCATTTATATTCCAACCCTATTGAAAAAAAATTCCTGCCTTCCCCCTCCTTTCCCCATCATAGATTACTCAATCAAATTCCATCCAAATATTTCCTTTATTTATTCAAAATTTTGTTTAACCATTTATTTAACCTTTGTAACTTAATACACCTAATTTGATAGATCTGTGATTGGTGGTCTGGCAATAACGACGGATTTCCGACGTAATGAAAAAAACACATTTTTAATTTTTACTTCTAGCCCTATAATGTTTAAACATGGAAAATTGTAGATGGTTGGATTGTAACTACAGAAAATCGTTACGAATTGTAAGCTCATTACCTTTGGGAATTAGTTTAGTCCTTTCAAGATTGTTTATGTGGTATTGAGGCAATAACGTCGGATGTCCGTTGTAGATTTTTGATTTCACACGTTTTCGTTAATATTAATGGTAATATAATGTTGATTACAACCCCCTTAGCAGACTTTATTGAACAATCAGGTGGAAATTAGCAAAAATACAAATCGTAAAACCTCACTTCATTATTGATTTAGTATAGTCACTTCAATTTTGTGGTGTGGGTGTAGGACGTCCCTAAAAGCATGATTTGATTTGATTTGATTTGATTTGATTTGTAGGGGGTACCTTAAGTCTGATTATATTTTTTATTTAATTTTTTTTGCCATTCCATATTAATCCCTCCTTGCCCTTTCTACCGTATCCCAATACCTTAATCCTCTTATCCCTCTCTTTCCTCTGTCCTAATTCCCTGGTCCCTTCCCCCACTCATCCTCCTCATCCATCTTCTCACTCTCAACCCTCTTCAACTCATCCCTGTCTTTCCCCTCATCCCTCTTCCCCCTCATCCCTTTTTCCTCTCCTCTCCCTCATCCCTTTTGCTTTCCACACATCCTTCTACTCTCCCTCATCCCTTTTGCTTTCCACTCATCCTTCTACTCTCCCTCCTCCCTCGAACATGCTTCCCTATAGCCCCCCCGCCCTTGGTCTTAAACATTCACATAAAAAGGAACCTTGGCATGCGTATTTACAATTTAGTTTAATATTTGGACCATTGCAATCTGCGGCGAATTGCAAAAGTATATTTATGCAACAAAACATTTAATTATGCAGTTTACGTATATGGATAACGGTAACAGTTGAATTCATTTACAGCAAACGGTATTTGATTAAAATTCATTTGTTCTTCATAATCCAATCTCCATTCCATTTGCGTTTAAACCTTAAATTGATTATTTTCATTAGTATTAAGATGTACAGGGTGTCTTAAAAAACATGGGAATTCAGTGACGAATTCGATATCGTCTTTGCTATGAATTAGCATTGTAATACCTAATTTCAAAACCTATAATATTATCATGTCTGCTAGAGTTTATTTAATGAAAAGGGTAAAAGACTGTAAAGATGTGTCTATAATGTCTCTGCAAGATGAACAGTGAATACGGACAAGTTTACTCTGTTTGTATACTGTAATTTTCTTGTTTTACTAAGTACAACCGTATGCAGTCAAAACATAAACAAACAAAATGTGAACATAGCAGACGAAACTCTTACAGATTACAGCTTTCTCAGTAGGTATCACTTTACTAAATCAAAGAATTATTTGAAAAGACGATATCGAATTCGTAACTGAATTCCCATGTTTTTTGGGACACCCTGTACAACTCACAACGCCTCTTTTTGAAATCTAAGTCTTTATTAATTTTTGAAACGATCTCAAGTTGTTTTGGAATTTACCAAACTCAAATTTTACTAAAAAAATCCTTGATATCAGCTGACTCGTTTTTGTATGATCTCTCATTGCAGCCTAGGGTGTACACGTACACTACATCATAGCTTCTTAAATACAAGTTTTTTTAAAAAAAAAAGACAAATATTTGAATGGTTTAAAACCTAGGAACTTAAGATATTTAAAAGTATTTGACTCAATCCATTTGACCTCAAAAATACAGAATAGTGGTTTAGAATCAATTTATACATGAACGTTGCGACTTTTATTAACTTTTTTAAAAAGTCATTAAACTGCACACTTGAGCTGTTGTAGTCTTCGGTGCCATGCAATGATTAACTGCAGATTTTATTTTTAGGTAAAACTATATTACTTGGAATGTGCTCAAAATTTAAAGAGACTGTACAAGAAATTACCTAGTGCATTGTCAATTATAGACAGATGTAATATGCCAAATTTATGCGACTTTACTGGTATAAAGGAATTGAGTCTTTGTCACAAACTCTGATTTTCTAATACCTATATCTTTGTAATCCAATTTCTTAGACGTTAGATATTTCAAACTATGAATTCTGTTAGATCAAATAGCCTAAGTTTGAAATATCAAGGGTTTCCGCCATTAGGTTGCCAAGATATAAGGATTAGAAAATTTGAGTTTGTGGCAAAAACTAAATTCCTTTGTGAACTTGTAACTCCGCCAGTTTTTATTTTAAGCCACAAATATTAGGTAGACAAATCTATCCAGTTACATATTATAAAATTTAAATATTTTTGTTCTTCTCAATAGCTTTAATTAGAGAAGTGTGCATGGAAGTTTTAATTTACTTAACTTGACGTGATTTGCGACAGTATTATTAAAAGCTTTGTCTGTTCAAGATGAATGAAATATTAATATTTCACCGAACACAAAATTGTTTAAAAGTTTAATATGAATATTCAAATTTTTACGATGATCTTTATCCCAAAGCAAATATAACATGATCGCGTTCATGTTGCTCCTGCTTTAGGCCAAGTCCTTAATCCAGCAGCTTCTTGTCAGAAATTCAGCTGACCGGCTTACAGCCAGACAGGTGATTATTACTATTATTATTATTATTATTATTGATCATTGATCATTGATCAGCTGACCGGCTCATTAATCATCAATCATTAATCATTAATCGTAAATCGTTAATCATTAATTGTTAGTCGTTAATCGTTAATCGTTAATCATTAATCATTAATCATTAATAATTATTCATTGTAATTTATTAATATAGGCTCTTGACCACCCCTGGATGGATAGTGACAGGGTTTATGTAGATGTACTTTTTGAACTTGAAACTACCTGGATGCGTAAATGTCTTGCCAGACGAAGGTATGCTGAATAATTTTCAAATTTTTTAATTTTAGTAAATATTTTTCCCCTTTTTTATAGTTTTTATCACAATAAATCTACATCACTTTGCTTAGCAGGCAGAATAGAGTCAATTCATGAAACCGTTGTAAGGCACATTCTAAACTCCTGAAACCTTTATTAGGCACATTCTAAACTCCTGAAGCCTTTGCAAGGCACACTAAACTCCTGAATCCTTTGTTAGTCACATTCTAATCTCTTGAAACGAAAAAAAATACAAACTGCAGACATGTCATTACCCCATCACTTTATTCATATGTAGGACGTTTTAATTGCAAAGACCCTGAAATAGCAATTAGATAAATATAATTTACAGCTTTGCTTCAAAATTCTTGTTATTTTCTCTTTAACATCATCAAACACAAAACAATTTAAAAATAACGATTTTTTTTACATTTAAAAAAATGTTTTGAATGTTAACAAGAGATTATTGAACTCCGACCTGCCAAAACCATGAAATGAGCCATGTCAGGCACATTTGTTGAGAACATACAAAACATAGTAAATGTAACTAGAGATAAATTGAAAAATTTGAAACCTTTAATATCTACAATTGCTATTTTATTGTTATTTGTAATAAAAAACCCTTAATATTTAAATTTTTTACTACATACCAATCTTGGTACAAAGTAAAGGGCACAAAAAAAACAATTAATTTTATCTTATTAAATTTTTTAGATGGTACAGAGCTTTGAATGCTTTGAGGGCAATGCATACAATGAGAAAATTCAGTCTTCCAGACTCACCATCAGGTGGATATTTATTTATATACTAATCATCTGGTGGATATTTATTTCTAGATTAATCATCTGGTGGATATTTATTTATAGACTAATCATCTGGTGGATATTTATTTCCAGATTATCATCTGGTGGATATTTATTTCTAGATTAATTATCTGGTGGAGATTTATTTCTAGATTTATCATCTGGTGGATATTTATTCCTAGATTAATCATCTGGTGGATATTTATTCCTAGATTAATCATCTGGTGGATATTTATTTCCAGATTAATCATCTGGTGGATATTTATTTCCAGATTAATCATCTGGTGGATATTTATTTCCAGATTTACAAATTGTAAGACCTCAAATCATTCTTGATTTAGAATTTTCACCTTAACTTTGGCATGTGGGTGTTGGACATCCCTAACAGTTTGATTTGATTTGACGCATTTTTTGACTGTCTGTGTTTACATTATAAGGATTCAAATTGTGAATTTAACTTCAAAAGATCTGCAGAGTTTATCAACATGTAAACTATAGTTTGATTTATCGGTCAACTGTAGTGCTAACCGGAAAACAATGGAATATTTGTCGTCGTCTTTGTAATTTCTTTATCATAAAATGAAAGTCGAGGATTTTAAGAGATTTCTAATTGAAACTGATATATTTCTAAAAGCATGTCCTGACAATGTTAGAAATATATCCGTTATAGATAGAATAAAAAATCTAATGACCTTTTTATTAATTTAATTAAATAACGTGGACGGCAATCATTTAATCTTACCGTTTTGATGTTTATTGGATTTTTGCAGTGATTCAGGCTAAATGGGCAGTGGCCATTTAACCCTAATTTTCGATACCAATTTTTGACGCCTTAATGGATTTTTATATTACAACTACAAATTACATATTACAACTTTTTTGCTTGTCGTTTTATGTAATTAGGTCTAGTAGACATGATTACTTTTTTTGAAATAAGGTATTACACTTACTTCTTAACAAAGGATATCTGGAATGTGTCACTTAATTTCCATGTTTTTTGACACACTTTGTTCTTCAGTTCATTTTCTAACCAAGGTACTTGACATTCTGAGTCTCAACTTGTTTGAAATGAATTCATTAAATTTTATTTGAATTCTTCACAGAACTGTATATAAGAATATATTTAGAAATATGTTTCTAATTTATTTTCTGCTCTTTTCTTTTCAATTTTGTTTTGATTTGAGTTCAAAAATAAAACTTTATTTTTATTTAACCATTAATAAAAATCATCAAAATTTTAATATGAAACTTTTTGTTGCAAAAGTCTCATCAGGCCTTTTTTACCAAAGAAAAAATTTCTCTAAATTTGGACAAAATAATCGTCATTTTTTTTTTTCGGGGTAAATTTTCAGAAAGAAACCTGCAGTAGATATTTTAATCAAAATCTCAATCTTTTATACAGATTAAATAAACCCTAAAGAGTTTCGGCACTAATTAAAAAAGGATAGTTGAGCAGAGTTTATGGTTAAAAATGGGATTTATCACGAAGAATGATAGATTTAGTAAAATAATTTTGTTTGTATAGAAGAGGAAGAGGACGAGGAAAGTACAGATGTTGCACCTCAGGCCGCTAGGATCGCTGTCGTCGAGGAAAAATTAGAAGAACCAAGGTAGCTTTTTGTTCAGTATAAAAAATTAATCTTTTTTATTTGATTTGCTGCTTTTTTGTTGAGATGTACATATTTCTCAACTTTTTTTATTTTAGACAATTTGAAGAGTATCGGTTAAAGTATGAGAGTGTTTGTCTGATTGGTTCTGGAACCTTCGGTAGTGTTTACTATATCAGGTAAAGGATTGGTTCTGGAACCTTCGGTAGTGTTTACTATATCAGGTAAAGGATTGGATTTGGTTCTAGAACCTTCGGTAGTGTTTACTATATCAGGTAAAGGATTGGTTCTGGAACCTTCGGTAGTGTTTACTTTATCAGGTAAAGGATTGGATTTGGTTCTAGAGCCTTCGGTTATAGTGTTTACTATATCAGGTGAAGGATTGGTTCTAGAACCTTCGGTAGTGTTTGCTATATCAAGTAAATGATTGGATTTGGTTCTAGAACCTTCGGTTTGTTTACAATATCAGGTAAAGGATTGGATTTGGTTCAAGAACCTTCGGTAGTGTTTACTATATCAGGTAAAGGATTGGTTCTAGAACCTTCGGTAGTGTTTACTATATCAGGTAAAGGATTAGTTCTGGGACCTTTGGTAGTGTTTACTATATCAGGTAATACGGATTAGTTCTGGGACCTTTGGTAGTGTTTACTATATCAGGTAATACGTAAGGTTATGTATTTTTATCTTATTTTTATGTGATAATTTCTATCTATTATAGGTCCAAAATTTTGACGTGTTTAACAAATCGCAAATATATTTTATGTTTCTTTTATCTAGAAATAACATTGAGTTGAGGCCCAACCTTTAATTTTGAGAACAAACTTATACAGTAACCCCCCCCCTCTCTTTTCTAGTAATAGTTTTAGCTCTTTGTTGCTGAATTGTCTGAAAGGCTGTTTTTTTTGCTCATTTACATTTTTTGAATTTCGACCAATCAAAAACCAACCCTGGGGTCACGTGGGACTTTGATGTAAATTGGAAACATACCAACAAAAAAATTAGACAAACCATCTTCTTCCCATATATTAAAGCTCTTTGCTCCCTTACACCCTTAAGTATATATATATATATATTATATGTATATTAGCTATAGCTGATCAAACGGCTGGACCTAATTGGCTGACATTTTTTGATAAAACCAATGTATACCCTTGGGGAAACAAAGGCTAGAAAAATCAAAATTATATATTTAAAAAAAATGTTTCTGTAAATTCACAGGCAACGCCGTGCACTTCAGCTTCAGCTAAATAGCTGCTGCAAAGTACCTACGGCAGGAGAAGGGGAAGGTTAGACAGGAGGCCAGTATTCTCAGGAAACTGATTCAGGTAAATCTAAGGTCGTAGAATAAGTCAGTTTACTCCAGGGGACATTAGTTCCCAAACTAACACTTGGGCCATTTCAAACACTGAGTATGAGAAATGGACACAAATTGAAAGACTGAGGTGTTAGGATCCCGGCCCATATAGAGAGTAAAAGTCGAGAGTAAAAACTAAAACCAACATTTTATTAAGCATAACAAGGACAACAATTCCGAATTTTAAACTATTTTCTAAAATCAAAATTATGTGAGGAGTTCTTCAAATATTAAAACCCTTGACCGTTTTCAAGACAATGTCAGGTTTTCCATTTTCGAACATATCCTGAATTTGAATCATTGTTTTGTTTTGAGACAAACCCCACTTTCCCGTTTTTGAGTATAATCCACAATTCATAACCAAACTCATTTTTCTTAACTTACAAAATGAATCACTGAAAGTAAAAGTTATTTTATGAACCCTAAATTAATTATGTTTAAAATCTAAGTTTTCACATTTTATTTGTTAAATAAGAGAATAATTTAGTTTCCTTGCATTTTAAACAATCAATTTCCCGCATTTCTAGTTAAATCTATATTGCAAGAACAAATGGAAATTAATATTTTGTTTCTAAATGCCGTAATGTTTTTAAATTACAAAAGAACAATATGTTTTTATTTTCTATTTTGTTTATGTTTTACCTTATCAAAAAATCTTGTTTTGTGACGTAAGTGCGTAAATACTTAAAAATTGACATTAATATGAATTCGAGAAATTGTCTCAAAACCAGGATATGTTTTAAAAACGCGAAATGAGCTGAAATTCGGTAATTGTTTCAAAATAGGGATTTGTTCGAAAATGAAAACAAGAATCATCAAAAACTAACTATTACACCTTAATATTAGTTTAAAAATGAGATTTCTTGTTTGAATAAATAGTTTTAGTCATTTCTTAGAAATGTATGGTGTAGTTTTGTTCAGCTCGGGTTGGATTTAAAGATATATGCTTAATAAAGATAACTTTGCAGATTTACCCATTTCTATCAATCAGTGGCTAAGTGTTAGTTTTGGAACTAATAAACCTACGCACTCTTAATGCGCACCAATGTATGGAAAATGTCGTTTCCTAAGATAGATAGATAAAAACCTCATATGATGTCACTCTTGCCTCTAAAATCAGTGACGTCATATGTGGTTTTTATCTATCAATCTTAGGATACAACATTTTCCTTATATTGGAGCGCGATTAGAGAAAACCACCTTATTATACAACCTTATGTGACTCTTTACTTTCATCTTTAACTAGCTCAATTGTAATAGTCTTAACTATTCTTTAATTTTGAAATATTTTATGATAGAAAAAATGTTTTTAAAAGTCGTTCTAGATACATTCTATACAATGAAGAGTGAGCGTTGAATATACCACTATATATGTCTATTTTTTGATGGTCTTAGATTGCAATAACTTTTTAACAAATATATTTTATTTAGTCTGCCATGGTGGTTCAGTTACTGGGCTTATATGAGAGCTCTCTTCAGAGTGTCCTGGTTACAGAATACCTTTCAGGAGGAGACCTTGTTACAAGGTATATGATAGTTTATGGTCACAGAATACTTTTCAGGAGGAGACCTTATGACAATGATGATAATAATGATATTGATGATAATGATGAGAATTATGATAATGATGATAAGGATGATGATGATGATAAAGATGACAAGGATGATAAGGATGATAAGGATGATAAGGATGATAATAATGATAATAATGATGATAATGATATAATTATGATAATGATGATAATGATGATAATGATGCTAATGATTATAAGTATGATAATGATGATAATGATGATAATGATTATTAGTATGATAATGATGATAAGTATGATACTGATTATAATAATGATAATGATGATAATGATGATAATATTAATGTTTAGAACTGCCAGTGATGATTTTACATTGACAGAACGGAAATGCCAGATATTCATGAGACAGGTAATCTACTGAGGGAAGAAAAGAATTATCAGGATTTTTGGGAAGAACTGAACAAAGATATTTGTGTAAGATCCCATTTTTATTTATACTTCTTACTCCCATAATTAACCAATCTTAAATTCTGAAGACATTTTTGTTTACAAAATCATTAAACAATTGTTTATTATTTAATCCATCAAACAAGGAGAGGGGGGGGGGGGGCTTAAAATTAGCAGTAATGTCGCATAAATTTGAAAAACACAAAATTCAATCAAATTTTTTAAATTTGTTATTATTCTTTAATCTCTTCATCTACTATCTACAATATATCAAATTGTCTATTCATTATCTTAGCATCTGGGTATCGAGCTAACTATCAAAGTTTTTAACCAACTGAGAGTCTATCGTAACTATCAATCTATCTATCTATCTATATATCTATCTATTTATCTATCTATTTATCTATCTAACTATCCAAACTATCTTTCCATCCTACAAAGTATCTTGATTTCTTACCAACTTTCTGTCTGTCTATCCATCTTTCTAACTATCTAGTGTGCTAACTAAATATCTATCTATCTGACTATATATCCATCCCTGTAGGGTTTGTTTAATGAGAAAATGTGATTATCATGTTTAATGAATTTTCATAAATTTACATTTTGATGTAAACAATATTTCAACTTTATTCCCCTTGGTATACAATATTCTGATAAACAAACCCTGCTTCAAATAAATCAAATTTAATTTTTTTTAATATTTAACAAGTTGTTTCTAAAACAAAAAAATCACGCACCTCTGCCCCTTTAGTAAAAGTAAATTCAACCTATATGAAGCATAAAGTCTGACCGCGTCAACCTTGTTGCACCGGCTAGTCTTGTACATAGAGCTAGGTAAAGTACAAACTATGGGCCGGAATGGTTGACCCGACTCGGAAATTCAAATGTACAACAGCTGCCTATGTGAAATATAACGACCAATGTTAAGTATAAAATGATCACTTCTTTGATTTAACGGAGTTTACCTTATGCTTTATTCTGAGAGATTAACCAATATCTCACCTATATCGCTAATTCTCTAAATTCGAAAGTTGCTTTTTTTTAAACAATTGCATAAAAAAACGATCGTTATTCGTTTTTTAAATGTTCAAAACTGGTGGGTCGTTTTTAAAAATGATATTTTCTTCCAAAAACGAAACGATCGGAAAACGACACAAAAACGATCGTCTAACAATCGTTTTCAAAAACGATTAACAACCCTACACATGACGTTGCTGAAATATCATTTTGCTATTCCACAGTTATATTGGTCTCTCTGTATATATTTAACTTAATGCGCCTTATATTTGGATTTAACAATTATGAGTTGTAAAATTTTGAATATTCATTTTAAGATATTTTTGCAATGATTTTACATGATTTTCTGTGAACCTAATTGTGAAGGTTGTCCGAGGTATTCAGTTTATCCACAGTAAACGGATAATACATCTGGATCTTAAACCCTTCAATATCATCTTTGCAAACCCGAACGATGATTATAATCTCAGGTATTTATACATATAAAGTTGTAATCTCTGTTTGTTTGTCCGATCATAACACAAGAACCCCCGGACCGATGAGTTTTGATTTGGTAACTCGGGAGAACTACGGTAATTTTCTTAGCTTGGTTTAGAGATATAAGTTGAATAGGTCGACACTCGACTTTTGTGGAGGAAAATCGTAATTTACGACAAAGTGCGGGTAAACGGTGGGAATAACTATGACTGGGGTCCCGAGCTAGCAACAAAGTATAGAAATTAATGCGACTGCTCGCGCTAATCAATATGGATTATTGTAAGAAAAAATATGGTTAAGTCTAGGAAATTATTTGCTACGACTAAAATCTATTAAAATGAAAGTTATTTCCAAAAAGTAGCTCTAAACATTTATATTGCAATTGTGAAATAACTTCCAAGTAACCTCCAGATATGCACCTAGCGGTTTTTTTGGTATTAGAAGTTAAACCTAATAACGCTTCAGGACAGCTGTGTATGGAAAGGGGGAGGCGGAGGGGGAACTAATGATTTTATGAACTAATGAAATTACAATTGAAAGTAATTAACTTTTTCACTCTACATACACTACACTGTACACAGTACTACACTGTACACCCCTGGGGAGATGTAATTGGAAGATTTGTACAATTATTTAATCAAAACATTTCCCTTGGCACATTACCATGCTAAATATATAATATATAAACTCTTGATCCAGGGATTAATATTTTTAAGAATTACCCCCACTCTTCAAGAAAATAATTTCCTGTCTTAATTACTAGTTCTCATGATTTTATCCAAGTAAACTACTATTATGGTTTCCAATCGGAATTCCGTTTCGCGGAATTCCGCGCAACTGTTCTCGAATTGCGAGGAGTTTACAGGGCTTGCAATTGCGCACAAGTAAAATCTACTTGCGTTGGAAACCTTCAATACAATGGTATTATGAACTGCTGGTTACATAGTTGAAAAACTTAAATTTTCTTAAATCATTTCTTTTTCTAGGATAATAGATTTTGGATTAGCGGAACAGTTACCGGTGAGTTTTTTCTTTAGTTCAAGAAAGTTCTACAGAAATAATTTTTATATTTAAAATTGGTATATTTTCATATTTTTGAGATAGAATTATATCAATCATAATATGTTAAATTGTAGAGATTGGAAACCAAAATATGTTAAATTGTATGGATTGGAAACCATAATTTGTATTCTATTGTAGGGATGGGATACCATAATATTTATCCTATTGTATGGATTGGAAACCATAATATGTATTCTATTGTAGGGATGGGATACCATAATATTTATCCTATTGTAGGGATGAGATACCAAAATATGTATCCTATTGTAGGGATGGAATACAATAATATTTATCCTATTGTAGAAATGGAATACCATAATATGTATTATATTGTAGGGATGGGATACCATAATATTTATCCTATTGTAGGGATGGGATACCAAAATATGTATTCTATTGTAGGGATGGGATACCAAAATGTTTATCCTATTATAGGGATGGAATACAATAACATTTATCCTATCGTAGGGATGGAATTCCATGATATTTATACTATCGTAGGGATGGGATTCCATGATATTTATACTATCGTAGGGATGGGATACCATAATATTTATCCTATCGTAGGGGTGGGATACCATAATATTTATCCTATCGTAGGGATGGGATACCATAATATTTATCCTATTGTAGGGATGGGATTCCATGATATTTATACTATCGTAAGGATGGAATACCATACTATTTATACTATTGTAGGGATGGGATATTATAGTATTTATACTATTGCAGGGATGGGATACCATACTATTTATACTATTGTAGGGATGGGATATTATAGTATTTATGCTTTTGTAGGCATGGGATATTATAGTATTTATCTTATTGTAGGGATGGGATACCTTAATATGTATTTTATTGTAGGGATGGGATACCATAATATGTATCCTATTGTAGGAATGGGATACCATAATATGTATCTTGTTATAGGGATGGGACACCATAATATTTATCCTATTGTAGGGATGGGATACCATAATATTTTTCCTATTTTATGGATAGCATATCATAATAATTATACTATTGTAGGGATGGGATACCAAAATAAAGATGAAAATGTGCGGGACCCTGGAATATATGAGCCCGGAGGTAATCTGTTAGATGTTGACAACAAAAAAGGTTTTTAATGCCGATCATCAAAGCAATGGCTTCATTGTAAAGAATGCTTGCGTACTTTATTCAGCAAAATAAAATACATTTTGTAGGTGTGTATCGTTGTTTACACTTAAAACTGAGCTATAGATTAAAGATAATGATGTTATGAAGTCTGGTTTTGTTCGTACAATTTAGCCGAATATGCAGAATCTAGAATATGCGATATTTTCTACAGCATGTTCCACAAGCCCACAAATCTTCCTTAATTTAGTAAATTCATCTGGAGGTGGATATGTGGTTAGTAGGATGTCCCTAAAACTCTTATTTGATTTGATTTGTGTACAACTGAAGTACACGACTTAAAAAACATACGCCTGCATATAGGGGATATTTAATGATCCTTTGGATACGTAATACAAAACCTTTAAAACTAGACTAAATTCAAAATGTTGTGTTTTATGTTAAAATTTAGAGTAATTCTTTAAATATTTAAAACTCAAACCCCCGAATGGGTATTATATGCAACAAGTAGTCGCTAGATGGCAGCCCAACACATTTCGTGAAAATGTAGCATGGTGCGCCGGGACAACTATAGGTCTGCTTAGCCTATCTGTGAATACCTAATCTGTGCCTTTAACGTACTTTCTTCATTTAACAGCTCCGTTGAAACTATTGCAAGTATCTACTGTGTACAAAGTATTGTACAAGGGTATGCCTGTTCGTGATATACATTGTACATGTTTTATGTACGTAATAATAAACTACAATTAAGGTGATGGATTGCAAGTTTGCCTGCCCAGCTAGTGACATGTGGGGAATAGGTACACAATCACATACAAGAAATTTTTTTGTATCTCATCTTTATTCAAGCTAAGCTAACAGAGCGCTTACCGCCCCTTTTAAAAATAATATAACTGTAGAGTTTAGAAATCACTTATACCTTACCTCGTACATAAAAAATGATATAATTGTAGTGTTCAGATGTCACTTATACCTTAGCTCATACATAAAAAACAATGACCCTTTTCCTTGGCCTTAAAACGTTAAATACTTTTAGCTGAANATGATAAAATTGTAGTGTTTAGATGTCACTTATACCTTAGCTCGTACATGAACAACCAATGACCCTTTTCCTTGGCCTTAAAACGTTAAATACTTTTAGCTGAAGCTGTTACTTTACCTGCAGCCATTTTTTCTTCCTATACAAAAATAAACAATTATAATAGCGAAATTCGTGGTTTTATTGTTAATATTGGAGAATTTTTTTGCTAGAAATAAATTGAAAACATTTTTTATCCTGATTGGTCATAAAACACGAGGACCATAGTCATAATTTCAGGCTAGTCCCATAATCACAAAATCCTTTGACCTAGTGAGTTCATCTGTTTTGACAATAATTGAATCCAAGTAAGGAAACAATATTGACACAAAGCTAATATTTCTACAAAAATGGTGATCTTTAGGTGTTATCAGTTATCTCCTTGTCTCGGGTGGATTATCCCCATTTTGGGCTGGAAATAGATATAGGCAGAAAACAACAATCACTTTAGTTCAAGAAACATTATTCATGGAAAATAATTATCTTGTTTTTTTTTAAATGATGATAATATAAGTAAATGAACAAATAAATGAGAAAATGAGGAAATAAGTAAATGATAAAAACATTTAAAAAATCAACAAATTAATAAACTAATAAACCAATAGATTAGAGAAAAAAAAACAAATTATTAAATCAATAAATAAATAACTGAATGGGTGAATTGATAAATTTATTAATCAACGAATGAACAAATGAATATTTCTATAAAATAATGAATTAATAAACTAATGAATGAATAAAATAATGAATTACTGAACTGATAAATTAATAAACTAATGAATAAATAAACTAATAAATCAACAAACTGATGAATGAATAAATCAATAAACTAATAAATTAATGAATAAATTAATGAATAGTAGTTGAATGTATGTTCAATATTAAATGTAGAAAATATAAATTAGTTGTTTTCCTTACTAGAACAATGGCCAAAACCCTCAGGAATATTGATCAGCAATCAGGCCTAATTCATGCGTATTAAGATTAAAGAGGGGATTCTAATAAGAAAAGGGACCAGTGGAGGGTTCTATAGCTGTGAATATTCATTTGACGCTCAAAACTTTAATAATATTTCACAGAACGCCAAAGATTTTATCTCTTCACTCCTAGTTCTAGACCCAGAGGTGACAACTTTTATTACTTTCCATCCATTCTTAGTTTTAAAACTAGGATTTGTTTTAAAAGTTTTTTAATCGCTTTGGAAAAGTTTGATGTATTGTTAATCAAATTTAGTTCTCACTTCACAATGTAGCACGTTATTTCGCACGTTTATAAGATTTTTTTCTCAAGATTTTTGTTTGAAAAATACGATTAAAAGCATATTTTTCTGATTTTCCCACTAGAATTAAAACAAGACCCTAAAAGGTTTCAAGGTTGAGATAATTAAATTAATTGAGCTCCTTAACTATAATATTTGGGTTAGTTAAGTGTACAGAATCAATAACGTCTGAAATTCTGAATACATTTTTTACTGATATTTTCACAAATTTGTTTTATTATTTTTTGGAGATGGAGATGATATTTTATTTATTTTTTGTGGATTTGGCCAGGGGGTCACCCTGTCTGATATTTTATTTATTTTTTGTGGATTTCGTCCAGGGGGTCACCCTGTCTGATATTTTATTTAGTTTTTGTGGATTTGGCTAGGGGGTCACCCTGTCTGATATTTTATTTATTTTTTGTGGATTTGGCGAGGGGATCACCCTGTCTGATATTTTATTTATTTTTTTGTGGATTTTGGCCAGGATGTTTTATATATTTATTGTGGATTTGGCCAGGGGGTCACCTTGTCTCATATTTTATTTATTTTTTTGTGGATATGGCCAGGGGGTCACCCTTTCTGATATTCCAATTATTTTTCAGGAGAGAATGACAGCTTCAGACTGTTTAGCACATCCCTGGTTGACAGATAACAGGGTGAGTTTAATTTATGCGCAATCCCTTTTAATTATTATTTTACTTTAATTGATGGAAGACTTCAAAGTCGTCTTTGATCTCAGAAATAATTTGAGGCATTCATTATACCTGTAATAAAAGGAATATATTTTTATGAAACAAGAATCACATGGTTTTCATGGTTTTATTTTAGAATGAAATTTAAACAAAATTCTTAACTCTTAATCTCTGACATTTTTACGGCAAATAAAGGTTTCTACTGAGAACAAGATCAAGTATTTTTTTCGTAAATATTTTTTACTAGAAGAGCCTGTGTATTGCCCAGAGGCAAAATCGAAACATGAATTGATGATTCATTTACAAATCACAGAAAAAATATTTTGGTTGGTTTTTCAAAGAAATTTACACCTGAACTTTATGCACAAAGCAAAACTTGCGTCTTGAAAAGCAATGTTTAACAGCTGAAGGTGTTCCTGTAACAAATCTTAACTTATGAAAGTTTTAATTGATTTGTTTATTTTACTGTCACTGCCTGAATTATATAAAAATCAAATCAGACTTTCAGGGATATAGCATGTCCAATGGCCATGTTAAAGCCAGACTCAAAACAAAAATAAAATTTTATTTTTATTGGAATTTCTAAACAATTTAAACCTGAAGTCTTCAAATTTTCAATTTCTTTTTCCTTGAATCTTATATTCTTTGAATTCTCAGACCTAAAACTTATATCAAATATCTAGCATTGGTTCAAATATCAAGCATTGGTAATTTAGATATATAGTATAACGGCATTCTCACCTTGCCTTATAAATAACGTGTAACTTTTTTATATTTATTAAAAAATCAATGACCTAAAATTTGGTTTAAATTATTAGAAATATAATCAAAGTGATATGTTTTAATTGTTCCTTGTTAATTATTTCATAAGAATATTTTTTGACTATGGGATAAAATTGATTATACTGATTATTGTATTTACTTCAGATGAATCAATAAAAAAATTAATTAAAATATTCTTCTTATTTTTTTCATTTATTGGAATTTCTAAACAATTTAAACCTGAAGTCTTCAAATTTTCAATTTCTTTTTCCTTGAATCTTATATTCTTCGAATTCTCAGACCTAAAACTTATATCAAATATCAAGCATTGTTAATTTCAATATATATAGTATAAGGTCATTCTCACCTTGCCGTATAAATGACTTATAACTTTTTTATATTTATCATCAAATAATCAATGGCCTAAAATAAAGTTTTGACTATAGGATAAAATATATTACTGATTATTGTATTCACTTCGGATGAATAAATAAACAAATGAATTGAAATATTCTTTTTTTCAGGTTTATGTTGAAGTCCTGCATACACTAGAAACTGCCTGGATGAAAGGAATCCTCGCCAGACGGCGTTGGCATCGCTGGTATCACGCCATTGTTGCCATGAACAGGTATATTTGTTATACTTTTAGATACATAACTTTACACGAGATTTACTAAATTATTTCTAGAATGCGTAAAATGTCAGCAGACAACAGATGACGCAATTCCCCGCGTCACAAACCTGACGCGGATCAATCCCAAACCAATGGACATTCAGGACTGTATACTTCATCCCGCCATTTTACCTCAGCCATTACGCGACAGCTGTCTCTATTAAGAGAAAGCTGGTCCCGCCATTTTGAAACGCTTTCTGAGCGTTATCACAGTAAACATACTTGCGAAGAAGTTGAGGGTAACCAGCATTGACTCGAATCAAATATATATTTCAGCAGATGATGTTTTGAAATGTTTAAGAACAACAAATTTTAGGCATGGTGATTGGTGTTCTATCAACGGTTCGGAGAAGTGAAAAAATCGAATGAAAATACTTTCTGATAAAACTCTCTTTATCTACTTAATATTTAATGTTTTTAATATTCTCATTTTCTCATTGTTAAATATTGTTAATTTAACTTCAATATGATCTATACTTAAACTTAGAAAGCTTTCGAACTTAAGTTAAGTATTTTCAAGTTGCCAAATTTTGCTGTTTTAATATTTGTCTAACGTTATACAATATTATACATACTGTCCTATATTTTGAATATTCCCTATCAATTTTATTAATATGTTTAAATATGTTATATATGTTACTCGTTCGTGCAGCTGTGTAAACCTGTGAAAACTATGTGATATGTTGTACTTAAAAAGTGCAAAACTTAAAAAGAACTAATTGCTTAAATATTTTTTATTGTAAACATTAATTCTAATTGGTCCTAGTCTGTATTTGCACAAACGAAAACCTACTGCCTCAATTTGATATGGAATTATAATTGTTGTCTTCTTTAAACATTACAGTTTTTTTATTGTTATTTTAGTAACACTCTATTTGAAGAGGGTCATACTCTATTTACAACGGTACCCATAAAACCCTTAATCTAATCAATAATGTGGAAGATAACGTTGCCTTTCTAACTTCTAACTTTAATTCTAATAATTTGTCCATTGGTCTAAAGCAAAAAATGAGGAAATCAGTTTTCAAGAACAAAAACATAGATATCTTTTTCAGACAAAGCTTTAAAGAGTGCTGTTGTAAATCAGAAATGCCATTCTATCAATGGACAGTTACGAGGATAATTCATTCTAATTTTCCGCAGCGTAAAAAAAGCGTAAAAAAGCAAACTTTCAGAAAACGAATTTTGAAAAATGATTTTAAATTTGAAATATTTCATCGAGTTTTTTAACTCGTAGATGTTTTAAAAGAACCAAAAAACTGATGACCAACTCTAATTATTAAATATTAGCTAAAACAATCAATATGATATATATCTAGCATTTTTTTCTTGAGTTTTTAACCTCTTTCATCTGCTTCAAAATTAACATCAGATTTAACTTTCATGACACGCGATCAAGAGCTAAATATATACCCACTTTCATTTTTCATTTACAGTTTAAACAAGTGTTAAATTACGTCAAATGGTTTCAGTTAAAAAAATTAGATTGATGCGAGAAAATAAATTTTGCGCTTTTTCACTCAAAATGCAATTTCTTTTGCTCGCCAGAATTTTAGCGGAATTATACTTATTTTCTGTACATCGGCCGTTTAAATTGGCATGTGTACCGACGTTATAATTGTGCGTTTTCAACTGTGTATAATTTTATCCTTAGAGTATAAATCATAAATGGCCTTTTTGCAACCTTTTTGAGTACATTACGCAATCGTTAAATTGGATTTTCGCAACAGGTGAACGCAATATAACTATCAATTTTTTTACGAGCAGTTTTCAAAATAAATATTTCTTATTTCCACTGGAAGCCCAAATTGTAAACGATGGAGTTGATAATGAAAATTTTTCTACCTTTGTAAGAGAACTGTGATAGTGGTGCATGCTTGTGAATACTCTTTAAACATTCATCATCAGGTTTCCAGGCAGTATTCTCCCATCTATATATATACGAATGCGTCGAAAAATAATCGATGACTTTAGGTTGTGATATCTGAATGATTTGTTTAAATTTATTATTTTACGATACGAGTCGTATATTGCAACTTTCTAAATTTGTATGGACGCTACGTTCTTCAGTAAAAGTCGTTTTTAGCAATTTTCTCTTTATAGACGAAACAGATAGAAGTAAGATTAGTTTCAATCACCATCGAATATTTTTCGCCATAAGCCTATACTACTTTCATTTTTCGTGAACACTCCCTTTAAACGATAAAATTATTTACAGGAAAGGAGGCGCAAACCGCCATAAAATTCTAGTCTTAACACATTTTTTAAGTTAAATCATTCAAATGATATTTTAAAAGCGAATTGAGGAATTGAGATACAGTTAGAGAAGGGAAGAAAGAAGGAGACAAATGCAATATAGTGCACATAATAATTTATGTAAGGGATACATAGTTGTTTAAGTGACTGTTAGCGAAATTTCAAGTAACCCTCCATGCAATGTTGGCAATGCCAAATTCACAAAGGCACCCTTGAAAGCTTTATCTGATCAATATTGTGGAAGATATTATAATTATACTATATTATATAAATTTAAAAAACCGGTTTTAAAATTATAAACATTGATATCTGAATATTACTTGATCAGACAAAACTTTTATGGATACCTTTGTGTTTTTGGCATTGTTATTTTGCATTTAGGGTCGCTCTAAATTACGCGTACAGTTTCTTTTAAGTAACAAAATGATCAAACTTCAATACACGCCCTAATAAAACGGAATGAAAGTAGTCTTTTTTCCATATTTAATTAAGAAAGTCACTGAAGATTTTCATTATATTGGATATGTTTTAACAATTAAAAATTCTAACATTCATAACAACATTTATTTTAAAGATTGGACAAAGACAACTTTTATTGCTAGTTATGCTGGTCATTACTGTTTTCAAGCGCAAGCCCTCACATCTGATTTGATTTTTAACAAGTCTTTCATTAAATATACATTTTGCAGTATTTGTGTAGTTAAATAAAATCATGCTTAGAAGTATTTTTCAAAGCTGCTTTTAAAATGTTTAGAATGGAATCATTTTACCTAGTCGATTTTAGTAACGAGGTTATATTGTATAGAGCATTAACACTAATCCTTTAAGAGTTTACAGTCCCTTTAAGAGTTTACAGTCACTTTAAGAGTTTACAGTCACTTTAAGAGTTTACAGTCCCTTTAAGAGTTTAAAGTTCCTTTAAGAGTTTACAGTCCCTTTAAAAGTTTACAAACCCTTTAAGAGTTTACAGTCACTTTAAGATTTTACAGACCTTTTAAGAGTTTACAATCCCTTTAAGAGTTTACAACCCTTTAAGAGTTTACTGACCCTTTAAGAGTTTACAGTCCCTTTAAGAGTTTACAGACCCTTTAAGAGTTTACTGACCCTTTAAGAGTTTACAGTCCCTTGAAGAGTTTACTGACCCTTTTAGAGTTTACAGACCCTTTAAGAGTTAACAGACCCTTTAAGAGTTTACCGACCATTAAAGAGTTTACAGTCCCTTAAAGAGTTTACATTCCCTTTAAGAGTTTACAGTACCTTTAAGAGTTTAAAGTCCTTTGAGTTTACAGTTCCTTTAAGAGTTTACAGTCCCTTTCAGGGTTTACAGACCCTTTATGAGGCTCAAATAAAATTTTAGTATAATCCATTAGTATTTATTCCTTTCAGCTTTCTTTTATAATATATAAAGATTATTAAAATATGTTTAAAATATGCTTATTTAAGCATAACAACCCCATTTTTTATTCTAAAAAAGTAAACTTTCTGAAAATGAATTTTAAATATTTCGTTGAGTTTTTGAACTTGTAGATGTTTTAAAAGACCAAAAAATTATGACCAACACTAATTTTTAAACATCAGCTTAAACAATCGATATGATATATATCTAGCATTTTTTCTCGAGTTTTTAACCTCTTTCATCTGCTTCAAAATTTTGCATTTAAAGGGGTGCAAATTCATCCCCTCCCCCCTTCTGTTAAGAATGATGGGGGATATTTTGACATATTCTGCACCTTCTTCACTTTGTCAATCTGCACAAAAATGTAAACA